GATTCTTGAGATTGAGAAGTATATCTGCCGCAGTGTTCATAGACTGATGCTGATGTTGAAGAACATTTGACATATATGCCAGAATGTAACACTTCGCCATCTCATCAGCCTTTCACCACCGGACATACTCTCCTTTGTCCTGCTCAGGAGCATCAGCCGCGGGCTCTACCGGGCAAGCCTCAGTAATCGCAAACTTATAACCCTCAGCAGTCAACACAATGTCTAAGTTCCTCTTCCAATTAATGTAATTAGGACCAGTAAGTTGATTTTCTTTTAGAATGACAGATAACGGATTGAATGACATGATGAATATCTGAGAAACACAAAAATAATTAGGGCTGAGCATGGGACTGGAGAATTCCGAACCGTTCCGGAAACCGAACCGTTCCGAAAACCGAACCGAAATCACTCCGAACCGAAAAATAACTGTTGACCGTTTGACTTTCTCCGAACCGAACCGAACCGAACCGAAAAAATAATTGGTACGGTTCTGGAGATTTCACAAATATTCGTTCCGAGAACCGAACCGAACCGAATTGTCCTGTACCGAACCGAAGAACCGAAATTAAGAACCAAATTATAACATTAGATGTGTTATTAATATATTTTATGTCAACTTTGATTCTATATAATATAGTAATAAATATTAACCTTCACTTAAATTTCATGCTTAGTAATACCTGATTTACAATTGATTTATTTTATTATAAAAATAATTATTTAAAATAATATGAAAGTATAAAGAATATTTTTTTAAGAAAAAAATATTATATTTTATTTGAATTTTAAATTTTTAATATTTGTTTCACAAATTTAGTTATAACTAAAATTTAGAGTTACTTATAAAGTTGATTTCAAAATAAAATCGTTAATGTGAGGAAGTACTAATGAATGTTGGATTTATTAAAGCATATAAAAATTAAATAAATAAAATTTAGAGTTACTTCTAGGATTGATTTCAAAATAAAATCTTCAATATGATGAATTATTGATGAATGTTGTTTTTTAAAGCATATAAAAATTAAATTATAACTAGGTAGTCATTCAGAAATAATTTAAATAAATAAAAAATCTCCAAAGATTCGAACAAACCATACCGAACCGAACCGTCCCAATAGTCCCGAATACCGTACCGAACTGAACCGAAAAATAAAAATCTCTGAACCGAACCGACTTTTTGGTACGGTTCCAGAGATCGAATTTTGGGATCTCCGAAGTTTGGTACGGTTCTGGAGATTTATCAATCTACGAACCGTACCGACCCACGCTCACCCCTAAAAATAATTTTACAGATTAAACACATTTGAATTTAACTGCTAATATTAATATCCTCAAAACTATATTAACTCAAATTCACCGACATCTCAAAACACCGAGAGTTAATGCATGATGCGAGGGCAACTCTACACAACTCAACATTCGCAAGAGAATGGCTTTCAAAGGCCCATTAATTTCCATAAGTCAAAACTAAATTCATGACGAATGAAATTAAAAGTTGGTCTCCATTTGGCCATGCAATAAATTCAGGGACCCCGAGGGGAGTTATAAATAAAACGCATTCTAAGTGAATCCCTTTTCTCGATCCTGAGTTCATACGAATTCGATTATACGTCATCCGAGGGGAAGCCCGTACTCTCTCATAAGATTCCCTCTAATCGTCTAATTAGAAATTCGTCCTGGTAATTTTCTACAATTAATTTTAGCGATGTCACCCGAGGGGGAGCCCATAACCGCAATTAATTGATTTACCGACAAATTAGAAATGAAGGCCTTAGGAATTTTACTATTAACTTTAATTTAAAATCCCTTCTCAAACTTAGTATAATTTAAATGAGGATTTTTACTTATTTAAATATTTATACAATTCTAAATTAACCCTACGTAAATGTAATAATTAATTAACATGCATAATTAAATATGCAATTTTAAATTAATCCCATGCAAGTACAATAATTAATTAACATGCATAAATAAGTAAATAAATAAATAATGGCATAATGAATTTAGATAAATAAATAAATAAATCCACTATTATGGCCGTTAAATATTGAGTTACCATAAACAAGGAAACCTTGTATATTATTTCCTTGTTCAACTGGAACTCCCACTGCAGTAGAATCCTTGTAGACCTTGTACTGCTTGGACACCAAGTAAACCTCTCCACCCCGTCAGCCCGCCGTCGCCGCCGCCCGGCCGCCGGTGGTCGAAAAATATATATTTTTTTCTTTCTCGCGCGCCTCCAGACTTCGTCCCGGTTGGTCTTTCGAGGGTCGTTGATATCTTGTGATCTCCCGACAATTAATCCACGGTCACAACACGAAAAATATAATTTACAAAATTACATAATCCGATCTTAGATCCAACGAATGGATGTACATGTTTTCTAAACAAAATAATTAAATCTATCCGGTCAACCCCGGGTGAATAATTATTACAAACATTCATCCATCAAATTCCTCGACATGTCCGAGGCTTTAAAAACAAATTTAAAACCATACATCACATTCATCAACATTCATCAAACACATAATCGGCCATAATAGTGGATTAAACTAATTCCTGTAAAACCGAGTTATGCGAATATAATCCAATATATGGTTGCGTTTGAACACATCTTGACAAATAAAGCCGTAAAAATTCGAACTTGTACACAACGAATTAAACCAAACTCTGATAACACTTGTTGGGATCAATGAAGATCTCGTTGTGCACAAATCACAAATTCAATAGCAAAACGTAAACCTATACGCAGCGGATCTAAAGGTTTGCGTAGAGAACTTACGGCTTAAAATTTATGGCGATCTGGTTGATCTTCTGGATGGCCGTACACAGCACACCAATGAATTTTTTACTGCAAATCGTGTCCTAGGATTGCACGAACAAGATTGGATCGAAAACCGAATCAAACGAGTGCAAAAACGGAAGAAGACAAGTTGCAGTCCTGGGAGCTTTCGGCGGCGCGTGAGGGGGCGTCCAGTGTCGGATGGCGGAGATCTCGACGTCGTTGGAAAGCTCTCGTCGAGACGGTCGTCTGATATGCTGCACGTCTTAATCGGACCTCCGGTTAGTTCTGTACGACAAAATATATTTCGTCTCACTTTACCCAAAGGTCTTCTACTGTATATCTCAAACACCTCTTAATCTTGTACCAGTGGAACAAAAAGAAGATAAAGCTCGAATGGGAACTGAAGGGAGAAGAGAGGCGTAGGGCATGATTTCCAAGATATGGAATTCTCTCCTCTTCCCATGAACTTAATAATGTATATATAGAGCTACAGTAGGGATCCTTAGGAGATTAGGATTAGGGTTCCTTAATTAATTAAAATACTTGTCGACCAAGCCATTTATTTTAATTAATTAAATAATATTAAATGGGCCACCAACATAATATTATTGCACTCCCTTTTTCTAGCCCAATTTACAATTGAGACTCCAATAATAATTACTCGATTTATCTCCCCATGTTTAAGATATAATGTCCATTAATTAATTCGATTACTGACAATGAAGAATTAATTAATTTATTATTATTTCACCGAAGCTAGCGCTCGTTCATCACATTATTACTATGCCGGAATTTACTCCACCTGCAGGGTTTAGCATAATAATTCTTCATGAACTCACTCCGGGGACATCATCAAACTAACGCACATGGTGACCATAAATATCCTAACAGCACATCCTACATGTAGCAATATTACCCAACACAGCGGGTCTATTGGCCCAGTTCACTAAGCCTCACCCATGTGAATCAAAGTAATAAATACTACACATATATGTATGTTTAATATCTTACGGGTTAAGAGTACACAGTAATTAACCGAGGCCTAGTTCGTTTACGACGATCAGTATAAAACGAACTGCTCCTCTCTGGGATCCTGTTCAATACATAAATGTACTAGTGCAACTAATCAGTCAAGACAAACTGTACAGTTGACACTACAACCGTTCGCGATGGGTTGTTTATGTCCATTTGGGTTGTGAACCACTTATTCTTGTTTCGCGAGTAACTGATAGCATGATCTTTGGTTCGCCCGATGACGACCCATACTATCTAATGCAAAACAACATAACGTAGAACTTGTTTAATCTAACATGTTTCTCATTCATAAAGGATAAAAGTGTAATGTCATCCAAAGCCAAGCTTTCAGTAGATAACACTAACAGCCACGGCCCACAGCTCCATCACGGTTCGTTTGCAATTCCGAAACAACCACGTTGTTAAGCGTCAAATGCAAATCCTCGATCCCCGTCGAAAGATCGGCAAACCAATCCGTGAAACGCACGTCCAACTCTTGAAATCGGTAGTCAATCTGTTGAAACCGATCGTTGAAAGTTACATCACGTTGTTTGTTTGCGGCATCTTGTCGTCCCAGCGACATCGCAAATCGTACTGACTGCTGATACCAACTGATGTAGGGAAAGTGGTGTAGGGAAAGCTTACGAATGGAAAAGGATAAACGAGTAAACGAGATACTCTCTCGTAAAACACGTAAAACGAGATACTCTCTCGATAAAACTCACAATCAATTCATATTTTTCTTCAAAATCAACTTCCAAATAACAAAGAAGAATGAGTCTTTAAATAAGACTCCTAAAGCCCTAAACCTAACTTATTCATCAAGCTACTACTACTACTACTACTAATAATAATAATAATAATAATAATAATAATAATAATAATAATAATAATAATAATAATAATAATAATAATAATAATAATAATAATGTTAGAATATGGTCACCTTAGATATGGTATCATATGTGTATCTCGTAGTTTAGGAAAGATATTATTCGATATTGTTTCCTTGTACAGTGTAATCCTACCTATATGTACACGGTTATACTTCACAACAATTACAATGAAAAATTATTCCCTAATTTCTATTCTTTCTATCATGGTATCAGAGAGGGTTCCGATCCTAATTTTTTAGGACGAAATCAGGCCATCATCATCTGCTGTTACCTATTTTTTTTCCGGCGATACCTTTCCCGGCGTAATGGCCACCGACGAAAACAGGGCTCTGTCAACTGGTAATTCCAGTACTGATTTGTCAGAGAAATTCGATCGGTTCCTCCAAACCCTGCAACAGCCTACACAAACAGCAATCCCACAGTCAATTACACTTAATGTAAAACTCAATCAACATAATTTTCCGATTTGGTCCAGACTCATGAAAGTTGCAATCGGGGGCAGAGGAAAGCTCCGGCATCTGACCGGAAATCCTCCTCCACCATCCACAGATTCCCCAAAATATTCAAAGTGGGAAGAGCACGATCTCACAATCTGTTCATGGCTCTTAGAGAATATGGAGCCAGATGTGATGTTGAACTACGCTGAGTTCCCATTAGCTCGAGAAATATGGAATAATCTGACCCTGACTTTTGCTCAGAGTCGGGATGGGGTTCAGATATTCGATTTAATCGTAAAAGCCAACACAATTCGACGGGGCACCGATTCTATTGAGGATTTTTTCAGTAAATTACAGAGGCTCTGGAGGGATATTGAGCAACGACAAATTAATCCCATGAGGTGTCCAGAGGACGTTGCCATATTCAACCAACTCCGGTCAGAACAGAAACTATATCAGTTTCTGGCCGGAGTCGGAGAAGAATTCGCTACTGACCGAAGGGAACTCCTGAACCAAGAACCACTGCCAGCGGTTGAAACCGCGTATGCAACAATCAGAAGGGAGCGGGACAGGAGAATCGTTATGGGACACAACGAGCCGTCACCGGCCGAAGCCTCGGGTATTGGGTCGGGTCTCAAAACCCAAATTTAAATCGGAGAAGGGACTGCTGCCAAGAATAGCAGCGTCGCCACCAAACTCCGATCAGAAGGAGCAGGTTCATCACGCCGGAGCGGCGGCGACAAATCGAAGCTATGGTGCACCCACTGTGGCCGGAATCGCCACACAAAGGAGACGTGTTTCCTCCTGATAGGGTTTCCAGAAGGGTGGGATAACCGGCAGCGAGAAAGCCAGATTAGAGAGGCAGCAGGTTCAGTTCACAGAAAACCAACCGCCACCATGGCTGTTGAAGCCGGCTGCGGTAGCTCTGCAAAACCTGAAGAGAAAGGAATGGTGGCTAGGGCACAAATGGCGGCCGCTGCAAAGAAAGGTAAAGGGTGTGGATTTGGTGTTTTGGGTCAGGGGGAGTTCTTTTCTAGTATTGGGCTGGGACAAGTTTTGGACCAGGGAGAGTTATATGGTTCTGGGCCAGACGAACGAACAGGGCTGGGAGATGTTGGTTTAGTCCAGTCCAGTTATGTGGACCAAGGCCATATTATGTCTGTTGGGCCTGGATCTAGTCCATGTTATTTGACCCAAAATGCAGAAAAAGACCCACGATGGCTCATCGATAGTGGGGCAACAGACACCATGACATTTGACCAAAGGGACTTTGTTTCGTTATCCCTGTCTCCCAACAAGTTAATCCAGAATGCTAATGGTGGACTGTCAGAATCTCAGGGGACAGGAGAGATAGATTTTTCAACAGACGTTAAATTACAGAAATGTCTTTTTATTCCAAGTCTTTCTTGTAAATTAATGTCTGTTAGTCAAGTTACCCGTGAATTGGATTGTGGGGTTCATTTTTTTGCTGGATTTTGTGTTTTGCAGGATATTCAGTCGGGGAAGGTGATTGGGAGTGGCACTGAAAGCAATGGGCTGTACTATGTGGACGAGGTTGTTCGTGGCGGAATGGTTGCATTGTCCCATGGCACAGTAGAAAGGCAGCAGTGGTTATGGCATAGACGCCTTGGTCATCCTTCCCTAGGGTATCTTCAACTGTAATTTCCTGCTTTATTTTCCGAAGATAAACTTTCTTCCTGTGATACTTGCTTGTTATCTAAAAGTCATAGGAATACTTATAAACCTTCTTTTTCCAGAACAAAAAGGATTTTTTCTTTAGTTCATTCTGATGTATGGGGACCTGCACCTTATTCGGGATCTAATTCGGGGTTACGGTATTTTGTGTTATTCATTGATGACTGTTCCCGTATGTGTTGGGTATATTTTCTCAAATATAAGTCTGAAGTTGCCTCCAAATTAATCGAATTTTACAATATGATTCATACTCAGTACGGAGTGTCTATCCAGACTTTTAGGACAGATAATGGGGGGGAATATGTGAATGATACTCTAAAAATGTTTTTTTCTGACAAAGGTGTTGTTCACCAAACTTCCTGTCCATACACTCCTGAACAAAATGGTGTTGTGGAACGAAAAAACCGCATCATTCTTAGTATGACCCGGGCTCTTCTAATCGAGTCCCGAGTTCCGTTGTTTATATGGCCCGAAGCTGTAGCCACGTCAGTTTATCTTCTAAATCGACTTCCCACCAAAGCCTTAAAACTCCGTACCCCATTGTCTGAGCTAGCTTCTCACACTACGATTCCTGAGTCTTTCACTTTGCAACCACGTGTCTTTGGCTGCAGTGTCTTTGTTCACATTCCAAAAATACACCGTTCAAAGTTTGATCCGTGTTTTCTTAAGTGTGTGTTTGTTGGGTATGGGACTCACCAGAAGGGATACCGGTGTTATCACCCATCTTCTCGTCGTCTTTACACGACACTGGACTGCAAATTTGTTGAAACCGAGTTTTTCAATTCCACCCAACTCAGTGATCAGGGGGAGATTCAAACCATAGGAGATCCGCTGAGTTGTTTCTCGGTTCCGTCATACGAGCAACCTCGTCCAGGAGACGAAGATAGTCCACAACCTTCCCTGCTGGATATTCCTGACGAAAACCTCACTAAGGTAACTTCTACTTCTGATCTGCACACTAATAATGATGCTGTTGTGCCTACTCCTTCAGATCAGGTTCAAGAGGAGGATGGGGAAGCAGTGGTCGAGACCATACCTGATCAGGAGATTTAGCCACAAGAACCTCCACGATATGTCTTTGACCGTGTGGGTCGTGGGGTCCCAAGGAAGCGGTATGATCCTGAATACGAGGATGCTCATTCTCGATATCCTGTCGCCAATGTGGCTAAGAGGAACCTGTCAGCAGAAGCATGTGCTTTTGCCACTGCGGTGTATAAGGAGGAATTGCCCCAAAGTTTGGAGGAAGCTATGCAGCAGGAAGAGTGGAAGGCTGCAATGCAAGTGGAGATGAATGCTCTTTTAAAGAATGGCACTTGGGAGAAAGTTGTACGTCCAACTGGTAAGAAGTTGGTTGGATGTAGATGGGTGTTCACCATCAAGAGGAAGGCTGATGGGTCCATCGAACGATATAAGGCAAGACTTGTGGCGAAAGGCCACACACAGACATATGGGATAGATTACTCGGAAACTTTTTCCCATGTGGTGAAAATGGACACGGTCAGGATATTATTTTCCGTTGCCGCAAACAAAGATTGGCCATTGTACCAATTTGATGTAAAAAATGCCTTTCTACATGGAGACCTACAAGAAGAGGTGTATATGGAGCCTCCCCCAGGATTCTCGAGTGAGTTCCACGAACAACAAGTGTGCCGACTCAAGAAAGCACTATATGGGTTAAAACAATCTCCAAGAGCGTGGTTTGGACATTTTACAGTTGCTATGAGGAGGTATGGCTTCAAGCAGAGCAACGGAGATCATACGCTCTTCATCAAACGGAGAAGAGGCCTCGTTACATGCTTGATTATCTATGTTGATGACATGGTGATTACTGGAGATGATACTGAAGAAATAGCCCGGCTCAAGGAGAACCTGTTTGCTGAGTTCGAAATGAAAGATCTGGGCAGTCTCAAATATTTCCTAGGGATTGAAGTGCTAAGGTCCAAACGAGGAATTTTTATATCTCAGCGAAAGTATGTCTTGGATTTATTGGCTGAAACTGGAATGCTTGACTGTAAGCCGGTCGAGACACCCATCATAGTGAACCATGGCCTACAAATTGTTGAAGGGGCACCTGGTGTAGATCAGAGAAGATATCAACACTTGATAGGGAAGCTCATATATTTGTCTCATACTCGACCAGATGTGGCATATTCAGTGGGAGTTTTAAGTCAGTTCATGCATTCCCCACAGGAGGCTCATATGAATGCAGCTTACAGAGTACTCCGGTATCTAAAAGGTACTCCAGGAAGAGGGGTTTTATTTCAGAATCATGGACATCTTGAGATAGAGACATACACAGATGCAGATTGGGCAGGGAGTCCCCTTGACAGGAGATCCACATCAGGGTATTTTACTCTGGTTGGAGGCAACCTGGTGACATGGAAAAGTAAGAAGCAGAAGGTGGTGTCGTTGTCGAGTGCTGAGGCTGAGTTCCGGGGTATTTCCCGAGGGTTGACTGAGATTCTATGGATACGTAAGATTATGCGAGAGCTGGGCTTCCCATCTAAGAATGCAAGCAGCTTGATGTGTGATAGTCGAGCAGCGATTAGTATTTCTGAGAATCCGGTTCAGCACGATCGGACCAAACATGTGGAGATCGACAGGCACTTCATTAAAGAGAAATTAGAGAAGGGAATAATCACGCTTCCGTTTGTAAAATCAGAAGATCAGTTAGCCGATGTTCTCACCAAAGTTGTTACTGGTAAAGCATTCGAGAGTATCATGGGCAAGCTGAACGTCTCCGATCCAACGATTCAGCTTGAGGGGGAGTGTTAGAATATGGTAACCTTAGATATGGTATCATATGTGTATCTCGTAGTTTAGGAAAGATATTATTCGATATTGTTTCCTTGTACAGTGTAATCCTACCTATATGTACACGGTTATACTTCACAACAATTACAATGAAAAATTATTCCCTAATTTCTATTCTTTCTATCAAATAATAATATTTATTAAAGTATCTGCATCATTCAACTCCAGTTCGGAAGGCTTCGCCCTCGTAGCCGATGTGCACTCGTGGCCGGCGAGTGGTATCAAGCCCGAACCCATGGTAGGAAGCCCCGTCTTTTTCCCCGGTCGAACACGAAGGTTAAACGGCACTGTGATCTACTTTGGCGAGCCACAAAATTCTCGGAACCACAATCCAATAAATAACATTTTTTGTTTCCGAGAATCGATTTGGAAAGTGCACCATCGTCAACAATGGCAACCTCACACTTCCCTTCATGAAACTGCTTCAACATATATAATCGCGTGTCTTCGTCTACGGTTTTGATAGCAGCAATTCCAGCTTCATCCTTCAGCCCCGAAGGCTCCTTATCAAAGATCGGCGGAAAATCATAGAGACGGTCCACTTCGCCGGTAAAACGCTCCTCCACCTCCTCGGGTCCTTCATCAAACACAGGCGGACCATCGAACAATGGCCTGTCAACTTGCTCTCCGTCGAATTCGGAGATGTCTACACTAAATGGGCCCTCCTATCGACCATAGCCATGATCAAATTCCCAATCGCGTCGGGCACGATATCTGCCAACGATGGCACCTCCTCGTGCTTGCCTTTGTCGTCGCGTTGATCGTCGCCGTCCATGAAGCCGTTTAGAGGTGGCGGGGACCTCTGCCGGGGCGCCCCGACATGGATGCGTCCCCCACAACCGCCTCTGTCTACCCCACGGAAGCCACGGCCCACAGCTCCATCGCGGTTCGTTTGCAATTCCGAAACAACCACGTTGTTAAGCGTCAAATGCAAATTCTCGATCCCCGTAAAAAGATCGGCAAACCAATCCGTGAAATGCACGTCCAACTCTTGATATCGGTAGTCAATATGTTGAAACCGATCGTTGCAGGTTGCATCACGTCGTTTGTTTGCTACATCTTGTCGTCCCGGCAACATCGCAAATCGTACTGACTGATGATACCAACTGATGTAGCGAAAGCGTACGAGTGGAAAAGATAAACGAGTAAACGAGATACTCTCTCGTAAAACACGCAACACTCGCAATATCAATTCATATTTTATTCATAATCAACTGCCTAAAGCAATATATGATGAGCCATTTAAATAAGACTCCAAAACCTTATTCCTAACTTGTCCAACAAGACAAGATCTCTAATAATATTATTTATTTTCTAACTTATTCTCTAAGATATCTATAATAATAATAATAATAATAATAATAATAATAATAATAATAATAATAATAATAATAATAATAATAATAATAATAATCTACACCAGTCACCCATTATAGCAATTAATGCCCCTCAGCTCACTTTGATTTAAATAACTCTGTAATAATTATTTGGTCAATTAATGAGATTTTCATCATCTTCATTTTCCATGTTTCTCATTCTCTTTATCATGGTATTAGTCGCCGGAAAACCTAGCTTCTGATGATTTTCGATTTTTTTTTCTTTTCTTTTTGAGACATGGTTGAAGGCTCTTCATCGCCGTCCATGTCGATCGCCTTGCCGCACCTCAATCCGCTTCCTCTCCGACTTGATCGATCCAATTTTTCTTATTGGAAAGCTCAGATTCTGTCCACCGTTCGTGCTTATGGCTCTGAGGAACTTTTGCTTGATTCGACGGCTCCGGAGAAATTTTTGTCTCCATCCACTGCCGGTATTGCCGCATCTGAGATCAATCTCGCCTACACTCCTTGGATGTGCACCGATCAACTCATTCTGAGTTGGATGCTTGCATCGATCACTGAGTCTATGCTAGGGCATCTCACAAGTTGCTCTCGTTCTACTGAGGTTTGGTATGTTCTTTCTCAGCTCTTTCAAACTCAGTCCAAAGCTCATGTTCTCCATTTTGAAATTTCAGCTGCAAACTCTTAAGAAAGGAGATCTCTCCATTGATGATTATATATTGAAGATGAGATCTATTACTAATGAGCTTCATTCTGTTGGTCATTGCATCTCTGATGATGAGTTAGCTATGTACATACTTGGTGGCTTGGGTGCTGATTATGAGTCTGTTGTTGTTAATCTCACATCTCGTCTGGACTCCATCTCTGTGTCTGGGGTTCATTTTTCTTTACAAACACATGAAATGAGGCTTGCTAGTCGGGTTGTTGTTACTCTTGTTTCCTTCCCTGCTACTGCTCCATCTCAAGTCCCTGATGGCCATATTGCGGCTAATTTTGTTCAATCTCGTGGTGGTGGCTTCTTTCGAGGCCGAGGTTGTGGTAGATCTCGTGGTCGTGGTTCCTTTTCTGGTCGTTCATACAAAAACAATGACATGATCATTTTCCAATTGTGTGGTAAGGGTAATCATGGTGCATTGAAGTGTTACATGAGGTTTGACATCAGTTTTACAGGCCAGGACACTAATCCTCCCTCTCCACATTCATACCTGAGTGGTGGTTCTTCTGCTCCATCAGACTCTGCCTCTACTAATTCAGATCCTAACTGATACTTTGATAGTGGAGCTACAGATCATTTAACTGCTAATCTTGAAATTCTTTATCTTCAGGCTTCTCCTTATCAAGGCTTTGACAAGGTCATAGTAGGTAATGGCTCTACTATCCCTATTTCTCATATTGGCTCTATTATCCCTATTTCTCATATTGGCTCTACTATCCCTATTTCTCATATTGGCGCTTCTTCTCTTCCTACCCCTCACACTTATCCTATTTTGCTGAATAACATTCTTTTAGTTCCCAACATTACAAAGAATCTGCTCAGTATTTAACAACTTGCCAAAGATAATCACGTGCTTATTGAGTTCCATTCTGATTTCTGTCTTGTGAAGGACAAGAAAACTCAGCAAGTTCTGTTGGAAGGTCATCTTAAGGATGGCTTATATCAGCTTGACCTATCCAAGTCATCTGCCTTTGCTCCTTCAACTTTACAGACCCTCTCTTCACAGTCATGTTCTTTTAGTGCTACTTCTTTTCCTACGGCACATGTAATGTATGTGGATTCTTTTACTAGTTGGCATAGGAAACTTGGATATCCCTGTGATAATGTCCTAAGAGTTGTACTTAATAATTTGAGCTTGAAAGCTCCTTCTACTTTTCCTTTTTGTGATGCTTATAAGCTTGGGAAAC